ACAAGTCACAAATACAAAAACACACCCTTCTTTGCCCTGGGCTTGTCTTGAAGGAGGGCAGGTCCCTAACCGGGTGTCTGAGGGGCAGCTGCAGCTGCAGAGAAGAAAAGACGTGTGGTTTCCGGTGGCAGGAGTCTGGGCCCTCCTCCCCTTCAGAGGAGGCTGGCAATTACTGAAAGAAAATGGGAAGGAGTGGGGAAAATAGAGCCACATTTCTATTTCACTTCCTGAAAGTCAAGGTGATGCTAGCACAAGGTATGAAAGGGAACATTCCCCTTCTTCAGGATTTAGGAAATGGTGCCGCAAGCAGAGATAAGGGAGGAGATAGGCAGGGTTAATGAGGACCAGCTTTACCTCGCTAGTGCCCAGAAACGGTTTTAATAAGCAGGGCTGGGTTCTGTGAGGAAGTTTCATTCACCTCTTAACTTAGACCATCCACTCCCAAACAGAAACACAGCAGCGCCGCCACCGGCACCCTCCCCTTTCTTAACTGTCCAGTTGACCATCGGATAGAGTGTGCTAAAACTCCCAAGAAACCTAACTTTTCCGTTCTTTCCGTTTATCCAGAATATTGAGTCTAGTTGGTTTTGATAGGAAATTATTGTCTCCAATAAAGAATTTTATTAATAGTTACTGTTCACTAGTTCTGAATTTTCAATTTTGGCAGACCCTGAAGTACTGTACTATATCCTGCCTAATTACAGCTAAGGCTTCCCCTCTCAGGGATCGAAATCTCCCCTTTAGAGAGTCTCACAGTGTTTTTGAATGATGGGAAATTACCCATGTAAGAGGTGGTGACTGTGTATTGGGATGCCCGCCTGCATCGGTGTCATTGTGTACATTCCCACAAGCGTTCCTCTCCTATAGTTCTACTCTAGCTATGCCAAGGGGCTCCTCACATCCCATGTGGGGCTTTAGGAAAAGGGTTTTACTGAATCCTTATTACAGGGGTTCCTGGTGAAGCGCCAAGTTCACGGTTGGTTAGTTTTATGAATAAATATCGGTTTTACTGGTTCCCAGATCATCTTTAAACATCTTCTGCAATACAGTAGGGATTTCCCTATAAATTAAATTACCTGTAACAATGACAAGTGTAGTATTTTATGCTCACTGAACTTTCAAAGTGAGATTCCTCAGCTGTGTAGTAAAAACGCAATTCAGTAAAAAAAAAAAAAAGGACCAGAGGTGGGAAATGGGAGTTAGTTAGCCAGATTCACTTTCAAATAAGATTCTCTCACCACCAACCCCAGGAGATTTCTCTAATAATAATAGAAAGCTCTACCTACGTAATGGAGGCAGGAAAGGGGTGCCCAGAGATGGATAAAGTTATGGCTATTATACCACAGCATTTAGTACATAGGGGAAGACGGTATAATTCTGGGAAATTCAGCATCCATGTGGCCGGATTAAAATTAAAATGAAAATTCTCTAAGAACTTTCATACTTAATGGATTGTGGAATTTTAGTACTTAATGGATTGTGAAAGAGAAACCAGCCTTCCGTTTGGAACATAAAATCAGTTAAAGCTCAGTTTTATCATAGATGAAGATACTAGGTTTAAGCAAGGCATTGTTTAACATGTTGGAAATCCCGATCTCTCTGCCAGAGGTGATTTTTCCCATTTGAGGATGAATTGTCCTTGCTATGTTAATGAGGCAGGATTAGTACAGGGTGTGTTTTGAGATATAAAAGAGATTAAACAAGCAAACTAGAATGCAGAAGGGGTGGGGGTTGGGGGGAATGCCAGGCTACAAGATCCCCAGAGGAACAGAAGCTCAGAGACCAGGACCTTCTTCCAGAGCTGACAGAAACTTCCCTTCTAGCCTGCATGCAGACAATGGCCTCCTCAACTGTGAGAAAAGAGCCGTTTGTTCAAGCCTCCTCCCGGGGGTCCCCCCACCCCCCGTAGTGTTTCTATGATACCAGCACTAGATAACTCGCTAGACAATTGTTCTTTAAAAAACTGGAGATGCATACTTACCTGGCAGGGGAGATACCATGATCACGAAGGTGGTTTTCCCAGAGCGAGGCTCACCCATTGCACTCCGGCTGTGCTGACCCCTGCGCTTTCCCCAAATGTGGGAAACTCGACCACATAATTTGTGGTAGTGGGGGACTGCGTTCACGCTCTCCCCTATTTAAAAAACAAACAAACAAAAAACTGGAGATGCTGCCACTGCTGATGGTCGTTTGTGTGTTTGTTGTTGCTGTTAGGGACCATCTGTGGCTTCAGCCCCACAGTGACCCTGTGTACACCAGAGTCAAACACCACCCGGGTCCTGCACAGCCTCACAGTGGTTCTTAGGTGTGAGCCCATGGTTGCAATCACTGTGCCAATCCACCTTGGCAAGGGCCTTCCTCCTTTTCTCTGCCCCTCCACTTTCCCACCCACGATGCCTAGGGCCGGGCATAAGCTGGCCATACTTTTGAGCTGTTGTTCCCAAAAGGATATTCACCAAAGAGAACTGGAGCATTAGCTGAATGATCATGCTGGGGAGAGAAAACGATGAACAACATGAACTATTTACAGAAACCTTTCCCAGTGGGGTTATGAAGCAGGAAGCCCTCAAGTCATTTATTAAGCAGATGTAGGGTGAAGTCCAAAAAACCAAAAAACAAATGGTCTTTGAGGCCGTTTCCACGCACAGTGACCCTGTAGGACAGAGTAGAACTGCCTCATAGGGTTTCCTAGGCTGTATGTAATCTTTACAGAAGCAGACCGCCAGGCTTTCTCCTACAGAGCTGGCTCGGTGGGTGCCAATAGCAACCTATTTCAGTTAGCGGTGACGCGCTTAAATACTGCGCCACCAGACTCTTTTTGTAGGGCCGTGTAGAGGCCTGACTGATGTATACTTTCTTGAAGACAGATACCTGGGCTCAGTGATGGGATGGGAGTTGTGTGGCCCGTTACAGACTTGCTGGTGGGCACTGCATGGAGGGTCCAGAGAAGTGGGTCAGGAGAACGGGGAAGGAGCACAAAGAGATTCAATTGGGACCCAGATGTGCAGCTGGGTGGGGAGTGGCTTTGGGGGCTCCAGCAGCAATCCTGCCAGATAGCGGAGTGTTCCGTGAGCCAGATCAGCAGCTGGGGGGAGAAGGTCAAGGAGTAAGGCGGGCAGGAGCTTACAAGGCCAGTGTCTCGCCTTCGTTGGGAGACAGAGCTTTCGAGGGCGAGGTTTGAGTCCAGCAGACCCCTGCGTCGTGGGAGTGGGAAACGGAAGAATGGCGATAGTGAAGAGTGATCCCTTCCCAGATTACTGAGGCCCAAGAATTTTGGAAAGCTGGCACCAAGCCCTGGAAGAATGGACTCGGGAGGTTTCCCCAGCTGCGCTGGGAAAGGGCAGCAAAGCAAAAGGGGGAAGGCACGGATGTCTCAGATCTCAGGCTCACAGGGTGCAGGGGTCCAAGTCAAAGCACCCCATTGCCAATTCCAGGAAAGAGAATAGAGGGTGAAGCCCTGGAACTGGGCAGGAAGCTGCGGCCCCCACTTCCTGTTGGGCTTCCGGGGTGATGAGCCCCTGCAGCTCTGGGGGGAACTGAGCGGAGGGGGTAGTTCCCAGCCGCCGGGAGCTCCGAGGTCTCTGGGGCAACCATTCCCAGGCGGCTCCTTCTGTTTGACGGAGGGTCTGGGTGCGGAAGGCTGGGCGAAATCGTGGCTTTGGGCCGGCTGGGCGCGCAGGCTTGGTCAGCTGCGCAGGCTGTGGACCCAGCAGGGGCCTCTCGCCTCGGGCCCGCGCGTGGGGTCCCCGCCCAGGAGGAAGCCTGTGGGTGGCACTGCGGTCCCACAGATTGGAACAAGATGTGCCCGCGCTCACCTGGGCGCCACGCTCCGCCGGTTGGGGGGGCGGGGGGCTCCCAGAGTCTTCAAGTCATAAAACCCCGGAGAGTTAGGGCTTAAATCACGCTGGTCCGGCCCGTGCAGCCCGGAGAGGAACTTGAGACCGAAGGCGGCTGTCGTGGTCGGGAGGCACGGGGTGCCCATCCCTGGCCCTTCAGGCGACTGGGACTGTCCCAGGTCCCAGCAGCCATGCGCCTGGGGGCTCTTCAGCGGGGTCGGCGCCCCCGGGGTGAAGGAGGGCCCAGCTTCGTCCCTACCAAGCCCCCTCTCCTCCGAGAGGGGCAGCGAGACCCTTCAATTAAATGTTTCATTGCGAATTCTCGTTTGGTTTCAGGGAGGTTAATCACAGCTGTCTCGATTATTTATGGCTTTGGGGCAGATTTCCGACCAGATCAGAAGTATATTCGATGGTGCAGCGTCTCGCAGGAAAAGCTGACGGCGGACTCCCTGCGGCCAGCCACCAAGATTCGCCATCTGCGTCCCCGGGGCTTGCGGGGTTCGGGAACTGCACGCCGGTGCCCCGACCTGGCGCTGTCTCCTGAGGAGCTCGCCGAGGACACCTGCTTCCGCCCTCTCGGGTCCGGCCTCGGAGGAGCGACGGGCCACCGTCCAGGAGCGGGCGGGCGGCTGGGCCCGGCCTCCGTCTCCCGAGCGCGGCGCCGGCTGCGCGCCCGCCCGGCTCCCCGGAGCCCTGGGCACCGGCTCGTCCGAGGCTGGAGGGGCTGCCTGAGCGCCAGTCCGGTGGTTCGGACTGGGGAGGCTGGAGCCACACGCAGCGCGGGGTGGCGGGGTGTGTGTGTGTGGGCCCCCTGAGCAGGCTGTGGCTTCTGTACCCCGGAGCATAGGGGCCCGGGTCACCCTGCAGTAGGGGCACGGAGTGCACAGGGATGAGTTCAACTTTTTTTTTTTTTAAATTGGACTTTATTCGCTCTTGATTACAAAGAAAAACAGAATATAAATAACTCGGCAGCTTTGTGAGGCTCCAAAAAATCTCCGAGAACATTCGGTTGGGAAAAGTTTGCTGCAGAAACAAGATCAAAAACGTTTTTTCCCCAGTTCCCCATCCTGATGATCTGGAGTCTGATAAAAGCTCAGATCAATAGATCAATCCTCACCCCCACCCCACCCCGTCTTTTTTCTTGGTAGTGGTTGGTCTTTATCTGGCAGAAATGATTGCTGCTATCACTCAGGGAACAGCTTAGCGATGGCCATCGCTGACGGCAGAGAAGCCGTGAGATACAGAGAAGTCCAAGTCTCCCAGGTGAGAGCTTCACTCGGTCCGCTCCGCAGAGCACAGCGCAGGGGCACGTTTATTCAGAGCCTTCTGACCCTCGGCTGTGTCTACCGCAGCACGGCTTCAGTTTGAAATGATTTGAGAAAAGGCTATAGGCATATTCATTCTCATTGATCTTTTTACATTACTAATTTCTTTCTTTTCCTGGAAGATTCTGGAGAGTTCAGCAATACTACAGGAAGTTCTCAGTCTTGCCAGCTAGGAAGAGTTTAGGCAGACCAGGGAGCACAATGCTCTAAACTCATTTAAAATGGATCTCAAAGACTATGTGGCCAGAGTGCAAAAGTGCCTTTAACTCCTCACCTTGAAAAGGGAACTTTAGAGCAAGTAAACTTTCAGTCTTTAAAGATACTTTAAGAACCGGCGTTAACATTCCCGCCCCGGCCCCCAAATGTACACTGCTTTAATTAACAATAGGTTGTAAACACCAAATATGAAATAATGTCGCATTGCAAACAGAATAAGTTATTTTATTACAAGAACAAAACAGACTTTCTAATTTGATGTCTAATTTCACCTATGTTACAAACACAAGGTCTATATTACGATGGGATGGAAGTTGTCCACATCCAAATATTGTGCATCCATGAAACAGACCCAACCTGCACCGTGAGAAAGCAGAACATCCAAGTGTCCACAGAGATTATAAACAGCGCAGAGTGTCAACCGTATCTGCAGTGCTGGGGAGTATAAACAACGTGAATATGAGCTACTTTGGGGACAGTTAACATGAACAATTAAAAATATTAACGAGGGTACTCAAATGCAGACCCAACCAAAACATTTATTTTTTCTCTTTGTTCAAGAAAAACCGGCGAGCTTCTTCCCAGGCCTGCTGAGGAAATCTGTTGGCTAGCTCAAGATAGTCTTGGGAATCCAGGGATTTTCCTGAGAGAGGAAAAAGAGAAATACGAAATAAAGAGAAGGAAAATAATAAGGCCTTAAGTAAAAAAATTAAATTCTTTAATGTTTGAGAAATTAAGCTTACTTTGATATATGGGTACTAAAGAGAGACATCTATTTCAAATAGGCCATGATACTTTTTTTGGGTAAACCAGGTTATTTATCGATCTAGCATAAACACATATCTACTTTGATCACAATGCAGCCTGTGTTTCCTCTGTCATATCAGAGACTAACTGCCATGTGAAATGGGACCCCAAAATTGCTTTTGAACTCTAGTGATGGGGAATATCAGTTATAGAGAACAAAATGAGACGGTCACATGAGCTCTCTCTGAGCTAGCAAATCCGTACCTAAGCTGCGACACTTTTTCTCCAGTATAGTCTAATTTAAAGTGGTCAGATTTAGCACTCAGTTGCTCACCTCACAAAGCGGAGAAACAGTTCGGGGGCTTTACTGGCTGGTGATGCTGGCAAAGCCATAGTCTCAGAGCTGGCAGCCAGTGGGTGGCGTGCCTTTGAAAATCAGAATTTTCCTCAGCAAATAAGACTGAGGTGGGACAGCGCTGTTTTACACGTAGCAGAAGGGGCTCACCTGTACGGTGCACTTACAACATTCTGACAACGTTTTATGGGGACATAGAAGTCCAAAAGAAGAGAGGGGTCCAAGGTACAGATCAGCAAGGGTGGCAGGCACCCACTATTTACTGATCGACCCAACACCTAGTGATGATTTTTGAAAGCCAAGCAGAGACCAAGTCCCAATTTGTTGTGTGATTACGCCCATTGTGTGGATTAAACCCACTGTAATTGGGGAAAGAATGAAAATCAGAGAAGACACTGAGGAAAAGAAAAAAGGGAGAGGCTCTTGCAGACAGGCCAAGGCAGCCCCTGAGGCTGTGAGGTGGCAAAACCTGACTCATTCTTTGCTGTCAGGAGAAAGAGCAAGGAAACAGAATGCCATGTTTCCTATCTTCCAACAAACCACCACCACACAAAGCTGCACCAATTAACAAGGTGTGCACTAACAGATGTGTCCTAAGTGTGTATTTATTCACAATGGGAAAGAAACTGCTTTGTGAGGAATAGTTACAGTAACTGATTTCTCCCCAGTAGCCCGCAACAGGGTTAAAAAACAAAACACAGAAACCGGCTGGCTGAGTGAGCCGGGGCAGACCTGAACTTGCACACCAATTCTGGCGGAGACGAGAGGTATTGGCTGTGTTGCTGATGTGCACTTCCGAAAAGCCGCAGAGCTTTTTGTTGACTTCTCTGGGTACCTGGGTCCATGGAGCATGGCTTTTTTCCCCTCTTATGATTTTTTTCAGGATATTGTAACAGCTTTAGTTCCATTCTCTTCTGTACTTGTTTCAACACCTGTCTACTGCATTTGACTTTTTCTTTTGTGTAAGAGTACAAGATCACACACACACACACACACACACACACACACACACACTTCCCTCCTTCTTGGTGGGTGCCCTGGAGGGGCCTTCTGGGTGTGAGCCTTGGACTGGACACTTGAAAGACTATCAAACTAATGGGAGAGTTTGGGACCATCTGGATTAGGCTTCAATAAGAGATGGGATATGTGTATTTCTCAAGGACAGTCAGACTATCAAAATACTTAAAGAAATAAAAATGCATCTCAACGTTCTACATCTCCAACTCTGGTCTTGGGAACAATCCAGCAGGAACATCATTGGAAAAAATGATTATAATATAATATAATACAAGTATAACTATCTCTTGACCCAGGAATGTTGGTAGTTTGATAACTTTATATAATTATTTTCACTAAAGAAGTTCAAAGACCTAAATTTAGGGGAAAATACGGGTTACAGTTATCGGTAACTTTTGTCTGGCTATGGGCAGGCTATCAGACATCTACGGTTTCAGAATGTAAGTGGGTCGTTTAGGTCAATATCCCAACGTGGCTGTTTAGTTGTTATTCCCCACCTGTCCTATCTTGTACGTTACTGTGTGTGCCATGGCACTGACTCCGACTCACAGCTGCCCAGTCGGGCGGAGTAGAACTGCCCTCCGTGGGGGCTTCTGGGCTGGAAGCCTTCTGGAGCATTTGCCAGGCCTTTTCTCCCACGGTGCAGGGGCCAGAACGGCTGACTTCTGTGTCCCGAGGCTCCTTAATCTTGCCTAGAGGTGGGCGGAGATGACAGGAAGGTGCTTTGTGCCTTTCTGCTTTCTCCTCGATTTCCCCATATATTCCGATCCACTCGTCACTGAGGGGCAGACCGACTTCTTGACTGCCTGAAATCCACTGGCAGCTGAAGCTCCCACCTCTTTCAGGTGACAGAATACACTGAGTTTCCTCCCACTTCCAGGGAGTGGGGGAACCCATGGCCGCTTGGCCAACAACCGCATGCAATTCAATTTCCAAAGGAGATGTACCTTTGGGCTGATGAGGCTGCTTATCGGTCTGACCCGGAGCCTGTGCGAAATCCTGCAGGAGACAAGAAAAGTTTGACACCAAGGCTGGGAACAGAGTGTTCCACTGAGCGAGACTGAATGAGAACATGGCTGAGGCAGCCCCCCCAACCCCCCCACCGACAACCTCCTCTGTGTGCCTCTCAGGGAGACTACAGATGGTCTTTGCGTGCACCAAACGGAACACCTGACCCAAACTCACTCCCTCAAAATGATGGCAGAATTTTAAAAGCATTTCTAAAAATCACAAAGATAAACACACTGACATTCTGGTGCTAAATTTCCAAGTCTGGAAATTGGATTTTTTGCTGGAAAATGTAGTTCAAAAGGGCCAAGAGCTTGTGGAAAAATTCCACTGTCTTTTAACTCCATTTTCCTCAAAAGTTTGTGAAGCTCCTCGTACACAATACAGATTGCCCAGGTAAATCTAGGCAGATATTAAACCTACCATAGAGCAGGAAGCGCCAATCCTGTCCCTCGCAACAACTTAAAAATGACCCAAGAGCCATTACTAGATATTTACCAACAAATGAAAACACCATGATCTGGGATAATAGTCTTGAGCATTTTCCATTTTACTTCTGAGACACATGCACGCAGTGAGAGCACTGCGGCGTGCTGAGCCCTGCCATTGAGCATGTAACACGTATGCACTATGCACGTCTTCAGACACCGCTCACCCTCTGCTAGGTCTGATCTGAACATCATTTACAGTGTGTATTAATAATCAAATACGTGGGGGCCTTTCTGTACACTAAAGCCTAACACGCATTCCCTTGAGCCCATTTCTAGAAAAGACCCCAGCTAGTCACTCCACTACTCTGCTCTCCTGTCCTAGGTAAGGATCACGAGGGATCTTGGTAGCCATGACAGAATCTGGGTTAAAATGTGGACTTTCTGATCATGAACAAGGTAGCTTAGAAGTTTATTGGGACCAGGGAAGACCCTGAATACAAAGGACCTTTACTTCAGATGCTGATCCCATTTGTGTTCTCATAGTTTTCTAAGCAGTAGAAAATGAAGGGCGTCAAGTGGGACCGATATGAAACCCCTTTGCTCAAACACCCTGTGCCCGCTCACGCTTCTAAAGCAGCCCCGCTCCCTGCGAGGCCCTGCCCCGTTTCCCACCTGGCTTTCTCCAGTCCACTGCCTGCTGATACTGTCTGACAATTCCACATTTGCCATAGAAGAGGTCTTTAGTGCTCTTTAATGAAATAGCCATGAAGCGGGATTTTATTTATTATTTTTTTGGACGGGATTTGTTTATTTGCTATTATGTAGTCCCAGGACGGAGCCCTGCTGGCATAGTGGGTTAAGGTGCTCAGCCACTAACCAGAAGGTCAGTGGTTTGCACCCAGTAGGTGCTCTGCAGGAGAGAGCTGTGGCATGCCACTCCTCTAGAGAGTTACAGCCGTGGCAGCCCGCAGGGGCACATTCTACTTGGTCCTGCAGGGTGTGTGAGTAGAAGTAGTGTGTTCACTTTTGGTGGCACCGAATGATTTCCTGTTGAATGGCAGGAATAAGTATCTCTATTTTAAAAGGCCACAATTTAAAAATTCTCCATAGAGTGTCTTATTTTCGTCAAATTAATTCTAAGGCGTTAAGAATTTTTGCAGCAGCTTACATGTTGATATCTATGTAATACTATTAAGAATGTATTAAGATTTAAATGTAACCGTAAGACCCTTTTTGAAAATCCAAACCCTAGCTATAGATTTGACTATTTGACTGGAAAAACTTTTCAGAATCTGGAACCCAGACTCAAAGGGGTTTTAAGCCAGCTTGAAACAGAATCAGCCAACTTGTGCTTATTAGTTGCTCATCTAAGAGAGAACCGTTTAGGCCACAGAAACCACGCCTGGGGCAACTCCGGGGCTGGGAGCAGCCGGGCAGGAGCAGCGCTCCGTCCGGGCCGCAGCACAGCAGAGGGAAGGGGCAGTGCTGCCGGAGAGCCTGCTTCATCGCTGCTCTGAAGAAAAGGAGCATGGTCTGCCGGTCAAGTGCTATCCTGGAGCCCAAACACCCTGCTTTTTTTTTGGGGGGGGGATGCCTTTTGGAAGAAAAGAGATTTCCAGTGAATAACAATCAACAGTCATACAGAGATAGAAATCACAGGGTCAGCCGGCAAATGGGAAACACAGCCGTGTGTAAAAATACTGCTTTGCTACTGGACTGTGGCTGAGGTGAGCCCTGCAAAATTTAAGTGGATCAGAAAAATTAAGCCGGTATGCACAGAAAATATTGACTTAGAAATTTATAACTAAGCTGGTTTTAATGGCTCTGTCTTCTGAAATTATTAACTATTCCCTCTAGTTAGACTGAAAAAGACACATGTTAGCCGTTACAGCTTATGTTTCGAAATCATATTTATTTTTTAAATGTCTAGAATAAATAAACGGAAGTTTTCATTGATCTGTCTTGAGCAATTATTATCTGTTCTCTAGAGTTAGACTGGATGAGGGTGAGGGGGGTGGGGGGTGAGGGGTACACGGAAAGGTGGCTTTAACAGTGAAAGCCCCAAAAAGAAAAAAAAAAGTCTGGCCATCTTTAAAAACATTTTCTAATTGCGGGTCCATCTTTTTTTTTTTTGGGGGGGGGATCTTTCCAGTCAAAATTATATAGCACTCCACCCCAGTTCCATTAGCCTGGCTATTTTAGAAATGAATTTCCTGGCCCAGAAATGGGTGGTGTTTGTAACAAGGTGCCGTGGAGGCCGAGGGGTAAAGAGCTGGGTGACTCCCCTTCTGAATCGCCCTGGCTTCCATCAGAGAGGCATCATGGTGGAGGTACCTGAATGAACGTGGCCAGGAGCACGCTGCTCATCTCCTGCTCCAGGATGACCTTGTTCTGGCGGTTGTTGTAACAAGCGGCGATAAGCGAGGGAAACAGCACTTTGATCAGCCGTGGGTCGCTGAAATACTGGAAGGGCAACTGGCAGAGCTTCTGCAGCACTGTGGGGTGGCGGCCGGACTGCACAATCACCTGAAAGGGAGGAGGAGCCCCAGGTCAGCTGGCCACCCCCCACCCACAAACCCCCCCTCCCCCAGTCTCATGAGGAGCCCTGGAGAAGCCGCCCAAGGCATGCAAAGACAGACTCCTCATTCCTTCATTTAAGCGCCAAGTGAAAGAAAGGACCGGAAAACAAAGCCATCTCATCTTGTAAGAAAGAGCTTCTGAGAGCTCCACAGCCATTTCTGAGTGATTAGAAGCCAAGAGGAAAGGTGTGGCTGTAAAGGGATTCTGGAGCCGCATCCATTGAACAAAGGACTGCCCTCGGGGGCCCCCCAGCAGCCCCCCAACCTGCCCCATCCCCAGTAGCCATATTCCTAAAAACTGCCAAGGTCACCCTCCTAAGAAATACCAATCCCCTCTTCTGGCCGCCCTCTGCAGTCTAACTTCGCTCACTGCCTATACTGAACGCTAATGTATCTCTTTCTCGTGGAGGCCACCTCCAGGAAAGAAAAGGCGATTGATTGTCTGGGGAATGGAAACCTTTTCGGCAAGCCCAGGCCCCAAAAGACCCTTCCTCCGGCCCAAAGCCCATATCTGTATCTGTGTTTCCATCCGTGCCACTGGCTCTGACAGGAGGACTGTTTAGACACAGGAGACTGATGTCTCGGAGCGGTCTAGGTTTACGATTGTGTGCGTTTTAAGAAAGGGGGCAATGCCATTAATGCGCTCCGGGGGAAGCCCTCCTCGTTTACTCTCTCGGCCTGAGAGGTAAACGAAGACATGCCCGAATCCGATCTGTTTCAAGTAACCTTGATTAGACAGTTCTAATAAGAAAGAGCTGGGGAGCCCCAGCCCACTTGGTGGAAGAGGAGGAAGCGCCCAGAAGGTTGGCAGCCTGTGAAGCTGGGGCAGGACGCACTTTTACAGGTACACACCCAGACAGGCCGGCATGCAAATGAAAACCAGAAGGACAGACCGAAACAGCAGAGGCAGGAGAAACATAAATTACAGGGATTTACAAGTTTTCAAAGTCCTTTTAACAATACTCTAAGAACACACTCTCAGATGATAATGCAGTTTGGTTTAAGAACAGAATCAACAAAGTAATAGTTCACATATTTTAGTTCAATAGCTAAAATGACATCAAAAACCTTTAGGGAATGTTGATAGGGACTTGCTAATACCTTCCAATCCAGAAGGAATGTTAAAGACTAACGCTGTGTTACAATCCAGCACAGGGCTGTGTGCTGCCATTCTTGACACTGGCAGAGAAAAAACAAAACTATGCCCGATCATCTACTTATTGATAAAGCATTTACTTAGACCTTCATTTTAATTATTAGCTACACTTTCTGTAACCCAGCCAAATAGTCGTCACACTTCAGAAAGTATAATAATGCCATTATTAGAAGTCTCTCCCCCATCCCTTTGGACAAAAATTAGGAACACTCCCTCACCCCCCAACTTGGAACTTCGTTGTTAAAATGCTATTACTGGGAGATTCACTAAATTGAATCTCTGGCTGTCAGGGACACACTGCTAGCTCCTGGTTCCTGGGGATTTCATGCCAACGGAACTCATTCCACCCGGGCTCCTGAACCTCTTAGGGGCTGGCAGACCCGTGGGAGGCAGGGCTGATTGATAGGCATCACTAGTGTAGTGAGATGGGCCACCAGCTTCACTACTTGTGACTGCAGAGAACAGAAATGGATGCAGGCAGTTAGCTTACCCTGGGGGGCAAGCTTTACCCATTTGAGCACCTCCGACAGGACTTAATACCCAGATTCCAGGTAAGACGGCCAGGAGGGATGCTGAGGGCCACATCCTTTGGCTTGGCTATGAGTCAGGGTGGGGTGGGCTGGTGGCCCCTGCCTGGTGAACCATGTTGCAGGTACTGTGAGAATCGGGAGGCCTTAGCAGGGTCAACCTGAAGCACTGGGCTTGGTGGGTCATTCCCATGGCTTGTGGCAGATGGGAAACTAAACACTTCTCTTAGGGCAGTTTCCCTTACCCAGAGAGGCGGCTGCCAAGGAGCCTAAGATGAGGACCTGGTGGGTCTGGTGCCAGGCCAGGCCACCTGGCCCACCTTCTAGGACACATCAGCTGAAAAAAAACTAAACCAAACCAACCCATACAGGGGCTTCCCAAAGAGCACCCTTGCAGACCACTGCAAGTGGCTTGTGGTGGATTTCTTTGCTGGCCACTCTCATTAATTAGAGACAGCAGGTAGGGAGGGGGCTGGGGCCTGACCAATAATGATCAAGACACCCCACCTCTTGAATGTCACGCCCACTTTCAGATGCAGAGCAGGGCTCCAAGGAAACCATGATTTCTCGCAAAACGCAGATTTAGAAAAGACCGAAACTGGGTTTCCTACTTGCCCTCAGGTGTGATGCTAAAGGTGAGTCATCGTGTGCTTTGGCCTGTTCACCACAAAGGGGAGCAGTTTGAAACCAGCAGTCTCTCCGAGGGAGAACGGTGGAGCTTTCGACTCCCGTGAAGAGTCACAGTCTCGGGGACCCCAGGGGCAGGTCCACTATCCTGTAGGGGACGCTCACCGTGAGCGGGAATTGACTCAAAGGCAGTGTGTTTATTTCACTTCTGCATCCCTGCCTTCAATCAACGGGCTTGGTGGCCATGGGCAAGCTGCTGAATGAGTCTGGGTTTGCAGGCGGCGATTTTTTGGTACGAGGTATGTTTGGTTTTTATAAAATCATCTTATTGGGGGCACGTTCACTTCTTATCACAATCCATCTATCCATCCATTGTGTCAGGCACATTTGTACATTTGTTGCCCTCATAATTCTCAAAACATTTTCTTTCTACTTGAGCTCTTGATATCAGCTCATCCCCCCCCCCTTCCCGCTCCCCCTCCCCTCATGAACCCTTGATAGTTTATAAATTACTTTTTGTCACATCTTGCACTGTCCGATGTCTCCTTTCACCCACTTTTCTGTTGTCCGTCCCCTAGGGAGGAGGTTATAGGTAGATCCTTATAAATGGTTCTCCCTTTCTACCCCACCTTCTCTCCACCCTCCCAGTATCACCACTCTCAGCACTGGTTCTGAAGAGATCTGTCCTGGATTCGTTTCCAGTTGCTATCTGTACCAGTGTACATCCTTTGGTCTAGCCGGATTTGTAAGGTAGAATCGGGATCATGATAGTGGAGGGAGGAAGCATTTAAGAACTAGAGGAAAGTTGTATATTTTATAGTTGAGGTAAGAGGCATGTTTTATTGAGCATGCATCTGCATGGTAAGTGGACAGCTCAGTTGGATTTTACAAAGTGAATCTTTCCTGGGACACAGGCATGACCAAGAGGGTTGGATTCTTTACATACGGCTCACTGGAAATGAGATTGCTACATTTTGAGTCTGAGGGATGACAACAATGTGGCTGTGCCCGAGAGCAAGTGCTTACGGGACTTCTTGGAGAGGGGCAGGGGCAGCACAAGCACCTCCATGATCCACCAAGTAGAGGACGATGGGCATGATTCCATGGTCCCAACCGCCCATCACTCTTTCCTTTGGTCTCGGAGAGAGGGAGAGAGGGAGGGAGACAGTGAGTGGGCACGCATGCAAGCTCCGTCCATGACACTGCCTGTGGCCCCTCCCTCTTGTTTTTGGAACTGTCAACAATGCCGGGAAGAAGTGGCCTGAGAAAGAGGAAATTGCCCGCTGGCAGTGTATGCTGTACTTTGGTTGGAAGGGGGAGCCAGGAGGACCTGAATGCTGGAATTAAAGAGGAATCGGGTAAGGACAAGGGGAAGAAAAAAGAAGAGAAGTCTGTTGTGGACAAGCGGACACATAGATTTTTTTTATCTGCTGACCCTGGCCATCCCTGGGCTCTGGGGTTCTGACAGTGTGCTCCCCACATGAGCTACAGCTCGGGTGCACCAGAGGCAGCATGCTATAAGAGAACTCTAAATTCAGCAGAGTTGCTGGATGCCTCCTGTGCCCAAGTGCTATGCTCAGTGCTACAGACACAAGGCGAGGCACGAAGAAATGATCTTCCTGCAACCTTCACGGGAAGGTGACGTAGGCAACAAAGGGCATTATTTCGAGATGTCTGGGCCGTAAGAGAGGGCAGGATGGGGTCCTAGGGACCCTCCTGGGAAGGGGAGCTTGCTCTGCTGAGCTGAATGTAGAAAGCTGCTCTGAGAAGATGGGTTGGACCTCGAAGGCTGGGGCAGATCTGGGTACCGGTACCTAGAAACCGTCTGTAGGTGGGAGACAATGTGGTAGAAGCAGCAGCTCAGAGATTCACTGTCTGCCCGGATTCATCCTCTCCCACCAAGCCCTCCTCGCCAGGAGGATGTTCCGCTAGAAAGTCTGCCAGGGTCATTAGGTGGCTTCAGAGTTGAGTGGCTTTTCCCAGGTCAACCATTTCTCCGTAGACACAGGCCCCGAGGCCTCAGCCTGGAGGGTGCAGGTGGTTGGTGGCCCCAGTGCTAGGCCTGCTCTGCGGTGATCACTGAACCCCGTTCGAGCGGCAGAGGTAGGTGGCAACCTTTAGGGCTTAGATGAGAATCCAGCGAGACTGCGTGTGGGGGCACAAAACCACAAAATGACGTGAGCTGTGAGGGTTTTGCTGGCTCGCTTCGATGGTTTACATGGTTAAACACTCAGCTGTTGGTCAAAAGGCTGGCGGTTCAAACCCAGGCAGAGTTTGAACGGAAGACTCGGTGATCTGTTTCCATAAAGCTGACAGCCAAGAAGGCTCTGAGAGAGAAACCCTCCTCTCCCAAACTCTACAGAACAGTTCAACTCGGGACATGACCAAGGGTCCCAAATGACTCCCCAGCTTCTGACACCAGCTGGCCCTTAAGCTATCTTCCACTACATGGAGCCTCAGCACCCACGCAGGACAGCATCCTCCTCCTCCCAGCGTGAAGCCTCAGGAACGCGCCCCGCCACCCCAGCTCCGTCCACAGGCTGCTCCCTGGATGAGGGGGTCTGGCAGCCGCAGGCGTTGCTCTGAAGGCCCCCTGGGAAACCACTGCTGTGGCCTCTCCCTGGCCTGCCTGCACAG